CTCAGAGCAAGGTCTGGCCTGCCTCTGGTTTCCAGGGAGACTGGGAACACCCCAATGTGAAATCTATCTGACATGGAGCATCTTAGAATGAAAATTCAGAGGTAAGACAGAATTTTCCCGTTTGCGTGCTGAGGATCACACTCTGACACTCCCCAGGGGTGCCCAGGGTTTTGAGGCACCTCAGCACCACCTGCCCTTAGCATGAGGGCATCTTGTCTGTGCCTGCTGTGGCTAGGGTGACCAGATGTCCCGATTTTATAGGGACAGTCCTGATTTTGGGGTCTTTTTCTTATATCAGCTCCTATTACTCCCCACCCAGTCCCGATTTTTCACACTTGCTGTCTGGTCACCCTAGCTGTGGCTCAGCTCCCTGAAACCACCAGCCTGTGGTGGCTTCTGCAGTGCTCTCTCTCTCTCTCTGGGCAGGTTAGCGAAAGGCACACATCAACTCCCGAGCCCTCCGAGCATTCCTGGTAGTGTCCAGCCCCTTGTCCACGGGACACTCACAGTATTACCTGGCCCACTGTTCACAAAGGAACAGTATGCAGCAGCTCATTAGATTCAACTCAACCACTTTGCTTAACACCACAGCACTTTGACATATTCAGTATGAAAACAAGGATAAGTTTATTGTCAAAGCACAAAGATTCAAGTGGTAGCAGGTAAGAACACTGGAAACAAACAGTTACATGTAAAACAAAATCATAACATGCTTCCTGGAGACAAACCTTAACTAACAGGTTTACCTCCTGTCTAAAGAAGCTATCTCACCCGCAGTTACTAGCCAACATTTTCATCCAAGCTTATTTGAAGCCCCTCTTTCATTAAGAGAACGTGCTGTCTGTTTATTTCCTAGATGAAGGATTATAGGGTCTTTTTTTGTACTTTAGAGTCCCACAACCTTTGATGTGCACTTCAAGATAGGGTTCTGTCCCCAGCTGTTTGCTTCTTCTTGTTGCTTGTCTTTCTTTGAAGTTCTTACAATCTTCCATTAGCATTCTGTTCAGACTGGTGGGAGGGGACCCATTCTGAACTATACAATACTTAATTTACATGTAAACAGCTACCTAGATAAACTTTGCTTGTCTGACAGCAAACTTGTTTTTCACCTTTGCTGGTGGCCAGTCCCTAGACACAGAGTTTAAGAACATAATTTTCTGAGTGTGTAGATGATTCCTTACACAACATTTTGCAATTATATTGATGATCAGTGTGACACTGATTTTTATTTGAGACGTCACATGACACACTTTGGTGAACTAGAATGTACATGCCAGACCCAAGAGATCCCTGTAACCTTTGTGCACCCTCTTGCTAGTTGGTATTAAGAGGTTGGTGGGTCACATACACTTAATGCAGTAACTCCTGAGACATGCCCATTTTCCACCTAAGACCCACCCTCCTTTTTTTTTAAACTTTGTGCTCCGAAGACCAAGGGAGTAGGCCTATCAGGACTTTAATCTTCTATGCAGTTTGGAGAGGACTAGGTGTATGGGATGAAATTTACCCTTGTGAAATGGACCAGCACAAGATCTATGAACCACTTAATTACTCAAAATAGCACTAAAGTGGGACTTAAGTGCTGCATAGGCCTTTTGCTGGCCCGTTGCACAGTGATGTATTTCACCCTTACTGATGTATAGATTTATAGATTTTTAAGGCCAAAAGGGACCACCTTGACCATCTAGTCGTACCTTCCACACAAGACATGGAATTTCACCCATTAAGTTCTGCATCGAGTCCATAACATCTGGTTGAGGTGGAGCATACCTTTTAGAAAGCCATACAGTCTTGTGCATATGTGTAATCTCCTCTCACATATGCACTGGAGTACAATCACCTTATACAATGTAGAAGCACTTGAAGATCCAGGCCTGCATGTGTACCATACTAAAGATAAATAACACACCAATTTTACAGAACTGTGAGATGAAAACATTTCCAGTATTTTATCTGTAAATTCTTCCCCCCCCGACCCCAGAGCTGGCCTGAAAAAGGCAGTTTTTGCTGAACCCTTAGTATTTTTTTCCATTGCTTTATAGATGCTTGAATAAATAATATAGAAATTAAGCTGGTGTGTAAGAGACTGTTATTTGTAACTTGATGATTAATGTGTTCCTCAGTAAAAACAAAAAATTCAACAACAAAATCATACCCCTCTGAAACCTCTTGTCACTCTTCTCATATTTGTTCCAAAAGCCAGCAGGCATGATTCTTGCTGGCAGCTTGTCAACATTCTCAAACTGATGACTGCCCACTATGTAAGGCCCCTGTGGAATTCACAGTTGGCTCTCCATTTGCAATCTGCACAACCTGCTGCCAGGAAAGCTGACAATGATATGCGAGTTTGCAAGACCCAATAGTAATATAAAATATTACTTAGGGCTGGTCCTGCTTTGAGCAGGGGGTCGGACTAGATGACCTGCTGAGGTCTCTTCCAACCCTGATATTCTATGATTCTATTATAATGTAGGCAAAACAAAGTAGTGCATCTGTGGGCAATGGCTTTCACAGTACTTGATGGATAGGTGAACTATAGCAAATCACTTGGGTTGCTTGTGATTCCCTTTTTCTTTTTTCAAGGTTGTGTATGGGGATGTTTTTTCATTGCGTGCAATGAAGACTGTTCTTATAGAACTATATAAAACTGCAGTGAAATCTGTTGGAGGGAGCAAATGGGAAGGGAATCTCAGTGCAGATTTTATGTTGGCAGAGTGAGCTGCAGTGCCCATTACAAACTCCATAGATCCCCAAAGGTCAGGTCCATCCACATCAGCAGAAGCTCCCCTGCATTTCCCCTGTCTTCCTAGTAGTACACTTACAATACTGCTCTACTACCAAGGATTCTTCCTGGCCGTAACTGCCCATGACCACTGCTTAAATTTCATTCCCCAACAGAGATGGGGCTCAGTAGGAAAGTTAATACACTCCCAAGCTGCATTTCCCTTTCCAGCTAATCTCTGTGGGATCAGTGTGGGGATGATGTGTGTCCATACAGTCCAGCTTCCACCCTATAGTCACTCCCTGCCCAGAAGGCAAAATGCCATCTGCAGGGTGTAGAGAGTGAGGGGGTTGCTGCTAGAGAAGTGACTCCTGCACCTCCCACCCCCTCAATGTGAAAGTGGGGAGATCCATGTATGGATCATGGGGGCACAGTCTGGCCATAGACATTAAGTTGACAAGCTCTGTCGGGTTATGAACACCAGCACTCTAAAAAAGGCGGAATTATGCTGCTGGAAACTTACATTTTCTCTGTTTTGAAATAGTGAAACGTGCAATTAGATAACATGTAAACTTGGCATATCCAAGCTTAGGATTTTATTATTGTTTAAAGGGAGCTGGCCTGGTTCTGCCCTTAGATACATATGCATGCAGTGACTTCAGTGGAAGCTGCATGTGTGTATGGAAGGTAGTGTTTTCAGCCTGGGGACAAGTCTCTGGGGGTGGGAGGGCACTAGACTAGTCCATGAAAAGTGAAGCAGTGGAAGTGTGGAAAGCTGCATGAAGTTGGATCCACTCTGATTGCTCTCTGCAAACATGCTGCTGTGGGTAAAGTGGTGGGCAGCTTCCTGAAATCTACCTAGCCTTTCTGCTCCTGCAGCAGCCTCAAATACACCTGCTCATAACAGCAACTCAGCCAGGAAGGCGCTCATCAGCACAAGCATTTGTGTCCACCTTCATGATATGCAGCATGGCTGCAAGATCCCATGCCCCAGCCCCACAGAACCACCGATGAATGGCCTTTGCCCTGAGCAGCAAGTATCCACAGTGAGCTACTAGGAGAGTGTAGCCAAAAAGGAGAGGAGGAAAAAACAGAGAGAATGGACAGAAAATAGGAGAGACAGCAATTATGCCTGAGCATGAAGTGAGGGGCTACCAGGTGAGGAGTGCCCATCCACCAACCAATCAAAACAGGGCATCAAAAAAAAATCATAAAAGCTGGGAACCACTGATTTAAGTTACAACTGGGATCGTTGTGTTATGTTCAATAGCTCAATGAATGTTTCTGTGAAATGTTGCTTGGAATATCTAAATGTACTATAAGAATGGTAGCTAAACAACCATACAGTGCAAGGATGTAATACCATCTATGTTCTCTGGTGAAATGATAAACTGAGAGCAGAGCTCTGCTGATTTGTCTGTCATTAGAAGTCCAAACTAGAATTTTAGATTAGGCTGTTATATGTTCATTGTATATTTGCAATAGGAGAGACAATGTTTCTGTTTAAAAAAAAAAAGTTACATTTCATGTTACCAAAACTGTATAACTAGCACAGCAAAGGTGATTGGACTAAATGATGTCATGTAAATCATACAATTTACTCGTTGTTTTCTTTGTAACAATTTTCACAGAGACATGTTCTTTGATGCAAATTGGTTTTTCATAACACTCCATGGTTATCGCAAAAATAAAACAGTATTTGTAGAAAAGTCTAGATATAGTAAGGTGCTATACTGGGTTGAGATCAAACATGCTGTAAATGATAGCGTCTATAGGGAACCAGAGCATTCCATTTGCGGTGACTTTAGTATTTGAATCAACTCTCTGAAAAATAAACCTGGTATTTAACAAGTTCCTTTTCTTAAAGTGTTGGAAGCATTACCGATTTCATTATTCACATAGATATCAAATAAAAAGAATTATCCAGGATTTCCAAAAAAGCATTCGCATTCATTGTTTTTCTGTTGTAAGGGGACATGTTATTCGTCAGAAAAAGGGTATTACTGGCCACAGCTCCAGAATTAAGGCTGAGTTGAGTTTTGTACTTAAAGCAGGTATAAAAATAAGACTCCAAGGTCAGAGCCTAAATAAGAACTCGTAATACTCTGAAATAAAATGCTTTTGTCTTTTCATCTTTTCAGCTGCCCGTGAAGGGAACAGTTAGGGCCAGAGTATCCGAATCCATTCCAATATGAGGCGTAGAGCTGTTGTAGGGTATTGGTTACTAGTGCTGCAGAACATTGTTTTAAATTTTTTTATTTTTTCCATTTTGTCACAGGATCAAAAAAATTCTGAAGATGAAGAGACTGATAATGAAGAAGAAGAAGAAGAAGAAATAACAGACAAAGAAGAGGAGGAGGAAGAGGAGGAGGAAGAGGAGGGAGGCAGCAATGATGATGGGAAAGTGCATGAAAAAGAGGAACATGACAGTAAAACACCTGAGGGAGAAGGAAGCAATAACACCACTTCAGAAACTCCAGAGGTGAAGCACTTCTTTTAAATTGTTGTACGGTGAAGGAATTAACTGTATAATTTCTTATAACATGCATGCTGTTAAATTCCTGCGCTCAGCATTGAAAACTTACCCCCTATGTTTGAGTCCAAATTCGTTTTTCCTTCGTATGTGGTTTTAATAGCAATAGGGGTGCAGTTATAATTCAGTTATTTTATTTTGTAGCCAAAAGAAATATTCTGGAATGCTTTGTCTAAATAAATATATTTCCTATTTTTTTAAGATTAGCTACTTAGATGAACAGGCATGTTATTTTTTTTTATCTTATTTCATCTTTTACCAATTAAGTAAGACCTACAATGGTACTATATTTTTTCAGGAATTATACTAATATAATAATGCATTATTTAAAAAAAATACAATGAATTTCACACGCTGCAGTTAAATATAGTTTTTTAAAGGCTTTGAAAGTACAGTATACAGATTTAATTATTTTATGTATTATTTATAGGAAGAGAAGACCCCTCAAGAAGAGAAAATACTTCAGCAAGGTACAAAAACCTTCCATTCAGAATCTAACCATTACAGCTCTTCTAAATACAAACTACACATTTTACGTGGCAACATTTATATATGTATCTAGGTTATATAAATGTTAAATGATGCAGACACTTTGTAAGACATACAAAGCAATGCTGTAAAGCCAGCAACACAGCAAAGTTACCAGTTTTATTTGCCTCCAAGAAAGAAATCTTTTTTCCCCCAAGATATTTTCAGGTGTGTAGTAGGGGAAGCTTATCATAGTGGCATGCTCCTTGCAGGAATATTCTGTATTTTTTTACATGCTTGTTGTCACAGGCAGACTATTAAAGGAGAAATCATTGAAGTTCTAGCTCACAGGTGGCAAACTGATTGTAGTGGCCGGTATCTGTGCTGACTGTTTGGCACAGGAAACTTGTTGCCATGTGTTTCCTTGCCTCACCTTGGGGGAATCTGTGTCAGACAGACAGATATCTTCTCCTCACCCCTTTAGCTAACTAGAAGGGAGAGAGCACTAGAGAGCTTTGCACGCTGCCTTCTTCAGGTTTCCATCTAGTAACTAGTATGCATGAAACTGTATGGGGAATACTCAGAAACAAAGGAAGAAATGAAACCATCTATATGGTTATGAAAACTGTAGCGTCTGATTAGCTGCTTGTCTTCATTACCACACTAGGGAAAAAGACAGGCTGCCAGTCATGGATTAATTAAAATGTTATTTCTAAATTCTTGAAAAGATTATGGGTAATATTTTCAAAAGCACCTGAATGACCTAGGAATCTAAGTTCCACTTTCAAGAGTAAAATTTTTCAAAAGCCCCTGTATGCTTTTGCACTCGTAAGTGTAGCATACCATCAGTTTCCTTATCTGAGGGGAGTTATTCCACTCCTACTGTCTGTTGAAATAGTAACTGAACTCTGCCAATTTTAAATCTGCAAGAGAGGCATTATTGAAGCCAAATCTATTAGTTGTGCAGTGTCCTGGGTCAACTACAGGGAACTGATTGCAGAGATAGCAGTTAGGACTGGGGGGTTACTGCATTGTTGTAATTGTTCAGCTGGAAAAAAGCAACAGGGAGAAAATTACAGTTCCAGTCAACATTTTGCACATCTCTGGGAATTCTGGGAAATTCCACTTGCAGTGGTGCCCACCTCCACTTTACAGTAGTAGTGAAGAGAGAGTCCACGAGTATAATGTGACAGGTTCCCCGAGGTACAGCCTGGAAGTGGGGTACCGCTGAGCTCTCTGTCTTACCAACGTGGGCTCCCTCTCACACCATGATTATGTGACAAGCTGCAAACCCCTCCAGGTCCTGCACTCACACAAACATTCACAGGCAGGGACACATACAGGTGAGTTACATGAATGCTTTCACCAGCCACTCACAATAGAGAGGCTCCAGCCAATTCCCCCCAGCTCCTCAGCCTAGGACCCCAGAGTTGTACCGTCTTGCCCTGGTCAGAAGCCTGACAAGTGTAAGTTTATTACCCAGTCCCTCAATGTGGAAAGGACAACACACCTGTTCCTGAGCAGATTTCCCTTTACACTTCAAACAACACACTGTTTAGGTAAAAACTATAAAACAGATTTATTAACCACAGAAAGATAGATTTTAAGTGATTATAAGTAATACTGTACAGAGCAAAGTTGGTTATTTAAGAAATAAAACAAATTTGCAATCTGAGTTCTATTAACTAGACAGGATTTCTAGCAGTGTCTCACCCTAATAGTACAAGCAGTTTACAGATCTTCCATACATAGGTTGGAACGCCTTTCCAGCCTGGGACAACCCTCCCCCATTCAAAGTCTTTTTCCTCCCGACCTCCTTCCAGGTGTTGGAGTTGTGGGGGAATGAAGCCAAATGATGATGTCGCTTCCCCCTTTTATAGCTTCTTCCAGCTTGCTGGAAAGATCCTCTGCTGTGATGGGAGTTAAACAGACTCCATTGTGTATATGCCATCTCAGTGAGGTTCCATTGTATAGTTCCTGGGGTAATCCTTAAAAGTACATGTATTCCCCTTAATGGACCATCAACACCATCTGGCTTCTTCGTTGTTGTACCTGAAAGGCTGCTTGTGGGTGTTCCCAACCTCACAACATATTTCAGTAGCACATACATAGTAAACTTCATAACTTCACATACGATGATAGCACAAACAATGCAACAGGATATTAATGCTCAGCAGATCAGGACTTTTAAAATGATACCCCACAAGGCATACTTTGTGTAAAGCACATCATAATTCTATCACCATGATAGATAGGGGGTGCTAGAGTGTTGCTCTGGGGTACAGATGTCCCAGGCTCAAAGTAACCCTATCCTTCCCTATTCATACACAGTGGACAAGGATAAAATAAAATATCTACTAAAGCACGATACCTTGTGTGGAGGGATCCTTATTTCCTGATTGCTTAGCATCATCTTTGAATCATCAGGCTCCCCTTCCAGCTGATTCTCAGGCTCCAGGGCACACTCCTGTAAGTTCTTGGTGCGTGTGCTGTTCTCACCTTCCTGGCAGACGTTAATAAACGAAGAAACTGACTTAATGGGTATACCTAATCAGGTGAAATCCTAGCCCCATTGAAGTCAATGGCAAAACTCCCATTGACTTCAGTGGGGCCAGGATTTCACCCTACGTCTTCAAGAAAGGGGCAGACAATGCTGCAGCATTCCAGGTGCACTTTTCCTGCACCTTATTGTAACCAGACCACCCGCCCCTTCATCACCAGCCCCTAGCATTGCACGGCATTGAGCAAAAAGGCCAATTCATAAGCCTTTTCACCACTTGGATGTAGCCCACTGTAAGTAAGAATCTATTTTCCTACCATCACCACTGAAAGGGATAACCATCTCAGATGAAATTTGGAATTGTGGGATAGTATGCAGCAACGTTGATATAGTGAGCCTAAAGCTTTCTTACAGGTTTGAGAACATCAGGGAAGATTATGCTGTCCTTTGGAAAGATACTGGAATGTACATGTTGGAATGCAAAAAGGCGAGCCTTTTTTTTTTTTCAACTTCTGGAATAAAAAATGATTACTGCCTTGATGGAAATCAGTGATGCGTCATAAAGTAACACATCACTCCATCTAATTACAAAGAAGCTAGGGCATCTCTGTCCAATATTGTGGACAATAGGTAGCCCAGAACAGATCTTTAAATATTTTCCCAACCCCCAATAAATCTGGGGTTCTTTGATTCTAGCAGGAGGATTTATATCATTAAGGCTGGCACTAGAGGGCAATTTGGACATATGAAAATCGAGATGAATTCTATCCCTTTCTGTATTGTTGATACAGAACAAAGACTCATGCTGAAATACAACTCTTGCACCAGGAGTCACTCTCTGCTGGTTAGGATATGTTTTCTAAATTCATGTGCAATACACTCTGTCTTCTGTTAACCATACGCAGTTGTAGGTGGATTAGTCAAAATATTTTACATATTTGCCAATGCCCTCAGTATTAATTCTGCTTTTGAAAATCAAATATCTGGGGTATGGTAAACAGATATAAATAGAAATGAGAAAAATTAAAACAGAATTGTTCAGGTTTGGCTGGGCATCAAGTTGAACTGAATATTTTATTCTGTCTGTTCCATTTTAGATGCAGAACTAATTTGTGTGTCTGAGTGTTAAAAATCATTAAAAGCACAGATCTCTTTTTGCAGCTGTGAAAAAAAGATTAATATAATGTTTTGTGTTGTTTTAGAGAGAGAAAATACCCCCGACACTCATCCTGAGAACAATTCTTCAAGGGCAATTTTGGAAAGTGGTGATGATAGAATATCTGGAGGAATACTTGGAAGGACTAAAAAGGTAAACCACCTGAGTTTTCAGTTCTGTGTAATATGACTAATAATAAAATAATAATAATAGTGGTGAGCAGTTACTGAAATTTTTGATCCTTGTCCACATAAGTGAGCCCCATCTTCATAGCCGACTGAAAAGCCCCAGTGAACATCCCTTTGTATGTGCTGGCTACTGTTGAAGAGTATCCATTATTGTGGATCATTCTTGGAATTGCAGAGGGCCTGCAAACCTTACTCACATTCAACAGTAACTTATTGCATGAGTGATTCCATTGACTCCAATATGCAGATAGAGAGGATAAGACATCATGTGAAAGCATTATGAGACACGGCACCATAATGGAAGCAAGGCAAGAGGTTGAGACAGGGGAAATATCCAAACTTGGACTACTGATGGCAGGCTTATCTCTTAAATATCCTACATTTGCTATACATCTCACTTGTTTAGATATTTCCCTTTTTGTGTCATACCATCTTGTCATGTTTCTATATGTCCCATAGTGTGGCAGTGGTTTATGCTGCTTTTACACCAGGTTTTCCTTCTTCCTTTGGTTATTCTCTACTGTGACCATATTTTTAGTAGAGCAAGGAGTGAACCAGAGGCTAATCAGAGGAAGAGTGGACCTGATGGCATGTGAACAGCCTTAGGAATACTCAGGGTGGAGTTGGGGGTTCAGCACAGTATGACTGGTGAAGAACTTCTGGGTACGTCTACATGTGAGCCTCCCAACCCGGGTTCAATAGATTCAGACTTGCAGGGCTCGTGCTACTGCGCTAAAAATAGCTGTGTCGACTGTGCTTGAAGTTGCAGCTTAGGCTGGATCTTGAGTTCTGAAGCCTAGGGAGGGGCCCATGCTCCAACCCAAGGCATAACTTCAAAGGGCTGTCTACACAGCTGTGCTTAGTGCAGTAGCATAAGCCAGAGTGTCTGGACCCCAGGTTGGGACTCTGACTGCCACGGGCTGTGTAGACACACTCTGTAGGGGAAAGGACAAGCAAAGGGAAAAGATCTAAGAGACCAAAGAAGGAAGACAAACATGGTTTGGAGGGTACAGAGAGAATATTGTCCCCCATTTCACGGGCCTGTGTCCTATTTGCAGTGTTGGAAATGTAAAGAAGTCTGAGAAGCCATAGCCAACACATTTGACATAGAGTACCTATTGCTATGGAAACACCCAGGTGAAATCCTGACCCCACTGAACTCAAATGATGGAAAAACATCCATTGACTTAAATGGAGCTAGGATTTTATCCCCCGTGTTCAAAAATCTCCTCCAAAGCAGAAGACTGTAGAAAATAAGATAATATTATAACCCAGAAATCACACCATAAAAAAATGGTATAAAGAAGCATTCTGTTAAAATTTTATTTGAATAAATGTTGCTTTGCTCCAAGCAACCAACCAAATCTCACCTCCCTCCCCGACCCCCGGAGGTTTAACTTTTTGGGTATACGTTAGATACTGTGGGGAAGAAGTATTGTTGAAGTTGAAAACAATTCTGTGCCGGTAAAAGAAGGTTAAGTGGTTTTTATTACTGGAATCTCTTTGACAGACACCTCAGTGTAAAAATACTTATAGATACAACATACTGTATGTTTTAAAAGAAATTTTCTATGGCTATGTTGCTCTCTGATTGAAGCTTAAAATAGGCTATTCTCTAAACTAATATGAATGCAGATAATATGAATAACAGCAGAATAGAACACTGTCAAAAGATAAGTATTGCCTGTTTGAAAAGTAAACCTCTTTACTCCAACCCCAGATTTTTAAATAACTATCTGTCTTTTCCAAAGTATTTTATACAGTTCCCAAAGAACATGCATATGAACTCTGAACCTTCTGACACACACAACTCTCCATATCCTGGCAAAAAAGCAAAAGGAAGTAGTGTTGTTTCATCAATTTCAACAGCTAGTTTAAATCAGATACAGGATTGCTTTCTTGTATAACTGACAGTGAATAAATTAGAGAACCTGTCTAGGATTTTTAGATTAACCTTTTTTAAAAAGTGCAAATGACGAGCCTGATCCTGCAAACTCTTACTTACATGATTACTCATATTGACTTGAATGAGACTGTTCTTTGCATAATTAAGAGCTAATCTTTTTCAGGGTGTGCGGGGTCTATCACGGATTTAGGATCTGATTCAACTCCCGTTAAAGTCATTGGAAGTCTTTCTGATGACTTCAGTGAAAGTTGGATCAGGCCCATAATTCTTATCTGATCTTATACAACGTACCTCAAGAAGGAAATAATTCTCCACTTTGAGTTTTACTGAGATGAAAACATATGGAATGGATATCCATGGAGTTCTTTATAGAGGGGACCACCTTACATGGACACTTGTAGGGTTGGAACTCAAATGCTCAGTCATTCAAGGTACTGAGCACTCTGTCCCCAATCCAGCAAAGCATTTAAATACACACTTAATTTTAAGCACATGAGTAGTCCCATTCACTTCAAAGTCTGTTGTCATTGACTTCATTAGGACTACACACATACTTAAAATTAAGCATATAGCTAAATGGTTTGCCTTTGTTCATGACATATGTTTGCAGGATCCGGTTTTAAATTCTCAGTAGGGTTTTATTCTTAATAAAAAAATTAATTGCAATTAATCATGTTGTTTTAAACAATAACAGAATACCATTTATTTAAATATTTTTGGATGTTTCCTACATTTTCAAATATATTGATTTCAATTACAACACAGAATGCAAAGTGTACAGTGCTCACTTTATATTTATTTTTATTACCAATATTTGCACTGTAAAAAACAAAAGAAATAGTATTTTTCAATTCACCTAATACAAGTACTGTAGTGAAATCTCTTTATCATGAAAGTTGAACTTACAAGTATAGAATTATGTACAAAATATAACTGGATTCAAAAATAAAACAATGTAAAACTTTAGAGCCTATAAGTCCACTCAGTCCTACTTCTTGTTCAGCCAGTCACTTAGACAAACAAGTTTGTTTACATTTTCAGGAGATAATGCTCCTTGTTTACAATGTCACCTGAAAGTGAGAACAAGTGTTCGCATGGCAGTGTTATAGCCGGTGTTGCAAAATATTTACGTGCCAGATGCGCTAAAGATTCATATGTTCCTCATACTTCAACCACCATTCCAGAGGACTTGCATCCACGCTGATGACAGGTTCTGCTAGATAATGATCCAAAGGAGTGTGGACTGACGCATGTTCATTTTCATCATCTGAGTCAGACACCACCAGCAGAAGATTCCTTTTCTTTTTTGATGGTTTGGGTTCTGTAGTTTCTGTATCAGAGTGTAGCTCTTTTAAGACTTCTGAAAGCATGCTCCACACCTCATCCCTCTCAGATTCTTAAATCTTGGGTCGAGTGCTCTAGCTATCTTTAGAAATCTCAGATTGGTACCTTTTTTGCGTGTTGTCAAATCTTCTTAAAACGAACAGCATGTGCTGGGTCATCATCTGAGACTGCTATAACATGAAATATATGGCAGAATGAGGGTAAAACACACAGCAGGAGACATACAATTCTCCCTCAAGGAGTTCAGTCACAAATTTAATTAAGGCGTTATTTTTTTAACGAGCATCGTCAGCATGGAAGCATGTCCTCTGGAATGGTGGCTGAAGTGTGAAGGGGCATACGAATGTTTAGCGTTTCTGGCACGTAAATACCTTGCAATGCCAGCTACAAAAGTGTCATGCGAACACCTGTTCTCACTTTCAGGTGATGTAAATTTGAAGCAGGCAGCATTATCTCCCGTAAACGTAAACAAACTTGTTGTCTTAGCAATTGACTGAACAAGAAGTTGGACTGAGTGGATTGTAGGATCTAAAGTTTTACATGGTTTTGTTCTTGAGTGCAGTTATGTAACAAAAAAAATCTATATATATATGTTGCACTTTGACCATGAAGAGATTGCATTACAGTTCTTGTATGTGGTGAATTGAAAAATACTATTTCTATTGTTTATCATTTTTACAGAGCAAATATTTTTAATCAAAAAATAATAATATAAAGTGAGCACTATACACTGAGCACTTTTTATTCTGTGTTGTAATTGAAATCAATATATTTGAAAATGTAGAAAAACATCCAAAAATATTTAATACATTTCAATTGTTTAACAGTGTGATTAAAACTGTGATTGATAGCAATTTTTTTTAACCGCGATTAATTTTTTGAGCCCTAATTCTTAAAACTGAAAAAATATTACAAATTTAATTTATTTTTCATCATTTATGCTGTTTGTTTACTTCTTGCAATTTTCTGAGTTTGGTCTGTGTAAACAAACTTGTGTTATTCATCAGTGTAAGCTCAGTTTCACTTTCTGGTTCTTACACACTTGGGCAATATGGCAATATTTGGATTACAAATACTGCAAAAGAATGTTATCCATTTAACATTTTTAAAAGATCATGAAAATATTTATGTTTATATTGTGTGTTGTGAAGGTGCGTTTTTTATTGTTTATTTTACCAAACATAACTGTGTGGCCAAAGTTCATTTGAGAGTGCAACTTTTAACTTGTGTGCAGGCTTTTTTGTACATATTGAAAATCACTATTAATTGTCTAGGGGGGTAATATATCATCTTTTATTTTAGTTTTCTCTGTTTAAGCGAAAGTCGTTGACAAGTCAGAAAAATTTACATAACAGCAATGAAGGTAAATCTGAAAAGCCACTCCAAAGTGAAAAGGATAAAGGAAAGGAAGCAGATTTATCTGGTGATGACAGGAAAGACGAAAACCAAAATCACACGAGGGAGAATCCTAAGGAAACCACAACTAACCAGGGCAGAAAGACCAAGTCCTCTACGTGTGTAATACTGTAATGCTGTCAGAATATATATTTGACAGGCTGCAAGCACATGTTGCAATTTATACTTGAAAACAATTATGACTTCTTATTGTTACTGATGACAGATTTTTAAAAAATAATTAAGTTGTTTGCCTTGGTTTTGGACTTGAAGACCATGGTTTTGGTATTTATTTCTTTTGATAATTTTAGTAATTGAAACTGATGAGCTTATCAGAATGTTACTGAAGTGTTGTGGCCTTAACTGTTCAGTGTTGTAATAAAAATATATTTTTGTATGTGAAAAGTTGGATTCAGGCATTTTAATAATTTTTGCTAAATAATTGTATCCTATGCTTGAATCTACATGGTACCACTTACAGTCTGATATGGTGCAAAGCTGTAAATAGCTACTGTAGTGTATTATTTGGTTCAACAACACAGCTAGGAATATTTAGAAATGAACATTATGAAGGGTATTGAGCCACTTAGAAATCATCTGTCTTGTTCCATTTTGAAATAGAAAAATAGCAATAAAACTCAACAGTATTTAAAAATATAGGCCCTGATTCAGCAAGGTACTGTAAGCATGTATCTAGCTTTATGAATATGTATTGTTCCAGTGAAGTCAATGAGATCCCTAACTGCAAGTAATGTGTAATGTGCTTATGTACCTGGCCAAATCAGGGCCTTGCAGAAACACCACTCATCTCTGAGAGATGCTGAGTGCCTTCAACTCTTGTTGAAATCAGTGAGAGTTGTTGAGGGAATTCGTCTCTACATAGAATCAAGCCAACAGCAGGGCAGAATGAAATCAATTGTCAATATTGCCATTTTACCATTTTACTGGAAACCTATTCCTGCATCCTTGAGCACCCAAATCTTCACCGTACTTTAGTGGAGGTTTTGTTAGCATACAAACTACAGTATCTGAGACCCTTAATTATGATTACATATGGTGGACATCTTGAAGTAAGCAAAACTTTATATTTAGTAAAGTAAATAAATTGATCATATAGACAAGGCTACTAAGATATTCATCCTTATAGAGCCGCTGATGCCTTGTCGAAAAACGTTGAAAAGCATTCTGTAGTATTAAGAAATCATTTGAGTTTATGTATAATTTTCTGTATTTTTCTTCCTTTTCATTTTATGAAGGACATTTGCAGGAAAACATTTTCATCATTAACAGTTCATGTGTTGCAGCTGCCTGCTTTCCACCTGGAGTTAATATCCTCTGTTTGGGACATCTGAATGAATTACTATGGGAAATATTGATGTTGCAAACAGATCATTATGGGCTAAATCCCTTTTGTTTTTCTCAGGCAAATACTTTCAGTAGCTTCAATGGCTCTGCTCTAAGGGAGGAGAAGGGATTTGGCCCTCTCTCCGGTGGGGATTATGCAGAAGGAGCAAGTGAATGCTTCAGCCAATTTCCAGACCCTCAGTGGGATGCAAATGTTTTTTTCTTTCAGAATTTGTCATTTTTATTTGTTGTTTACATTTCTTATATTTAACACACAGTTCTAATTACCAAATTCATAAAAAGACAAGATTCCTTAAAATTCAGCTGCAAATAAATAAGAAATAAGAATGTAGTTTATTAATAAATGTAAAAACACATCCTGTCCTGTGATTAATCTTATCCCAGGATTGTGTTTTCGTATTCAAAAGTCATTAGTTATTAAACAAAGATAAACATGTAATGTACAACATATAATATAAAACCAGAATTGTAGCCAAATTGAATCCTTTTCAAAATATTTCATAAGAGACAAGCTGATCTTTAAAAAACAACTAGGAAAAAGTTATTTAATTTCACTGACTTGTGCACACTTTTGAATCTGCCTTTGGCCCAACTTCACCTCTGATTTATCTATTTTTCCTAGTTTCAGGGCTGCTTAGGCTTTATATAACCCTGTCACAAGTGACTAGAGCTGTTCTTAACCTAGAAATTGGTCCAACTGAATGCTTCGTCCGTATAAGTATGGCAAATACCCAAATACTTTAATGGAGCCTCCCCTGGACTGCAGTAAGTAGCACCATATTAAAAGCCTGCATTCTGTGTCATCCTTTTCCAGAGTTAATTAAGATCCTGTCCTTTTGTTCTGCTATTTTTCCATGTGACAGCTTTGAGTTCTACAGATGTACATTAAATATGTTATTTTCTTTCTAGCAAAATACATGGTATTTACTGTTTTCCTCTTTTTCTCAGTGGACATTTGACTTCTGTTCTGCTTGGATAGGAAAAAATCTAAATAGGAAAAAATCTTGGAAGAGGAGTGATAAACTAAATGGTTTCCTTCAGTGAGTTGAAATTAGTTTTACATTTTTAAAGGGGGCTGGAATTGATCCCAAAGGAAGGTACCCTAAGGAGTATTTCTTTTTTTTAAAGTGTGAGTTCAGTTAGTGAAGAGTAATTCTCTTAAATATGATGTTATTCTACAAGGGGAGGTTTTCTTAAAGCTATTGACACAGCAAAACACACTTGGAAGCACATTCTATTGTGATCCAATTACTTTGTATAGCATATTTTTTCTGTTCCCTTTTCCCCTTCCAAGTACAGTTACATGAAAACGGGATGTTTGCTGCCACAAAAGTCAAGACTCTTAACAGGCAGTGTGCACTGATTAAAAATAAATGATTTTTCATCTTTAATAATACCACATATTGTATAGTTTACTGCACGATAAAAAGGATATTGTTCACTAAAAGGTATTTTGTCAGATAAATAATAGCAGAAGGTTCCATCGTAGAAATGATTTGGAGCACTGCTTTTGTTTTTTACCATTTACCCTTATTTTCCAAAGCTAAGTATTTCAGCATAAATCACTATTCCTGGATTACATGGTCCTGGTTCATGCCAGTGGGATGGCTCTTTAAACTTCATTTTTTTTCTAAAACTCGCCATCAAAATTACCATGCAGTGGAGGTTGTGTGCTTCACAAGTATATAACTATAGCATCTCTATCTTGACAGCCAAGTCTTTTCCTCCCTCTGGCCCCTGACCAGCAGTTAAGTTGCTCACTCTTAGGCTAGGTCTACACTACCCGCCTGAATCGGCGGGTAGAATTCGATCTCTCGGGGATCGAATTAGCGCGTCTCGTCGGGACGCAACAATCGATCCCCAAATCGACACGCTTACTCCACCAGTGGAGGTAGGAGTAAGCGCCGTCGACGGGGAGCCGCGGAGGTCGATTTTGCTGCCGTCCTCACAGCGGGGTAAGTCGGCTCCGATACATCGAATTCAGCTACGCTATTCGCGTAGCTGAATTTGCGTATCTTAAATCGACCCCCCCCTGTAGTGAAGACCTGCCCTTAATCAATACTGTACCTGCTGCTTTAAATATATCTTTAGAGCTTTTTATCCTTTCAAGAAAATGGCTGAGTGCAGCTATCTTTTGCTCTTTGCTTTAAGATGCTCTGCATTAGTATTTTTATATAATGCTTTTTTAAAAGATGGCTTAGCTTATAGATAGAGAAATAGTAAATCAGCATTGATGACAAAAAGCACAGGATCTGGCCCTACATCTACCATCACTTCAAGGGTGTTCAAAAACCCTGCCTGAGCTCAAGAGACAATACAGCCCACACAATAATGTTGGTGATATAATAGCAAAACTCCCATTGACTTTGTTGGTGCAGGATCATGGAAGTGGGGCATAAACACACATTGCTGATTGTTTTTCATACTCCCAAAGAACATAGTGCTATACCGAGTGGTAATTTTTATTACTTTTTTCCCGGATAGCTTATATACATATATTGTGTCCATCCCTTATCTCTAATTACCCAGGTGAAGTCAATGGAGTTGATGTAAATCAGATCACATTTTGGCATGTTTATCATGTGTACATGAGCCTATCGTCTTCTAAGGCTGTGGGTAACATAAATGTGAGTTCAGGTAGAATTTAAGCCTGAGTATGACATTAAAGTGGTCCAGCTATCACAATTTGGTTTTTAAATAAATAAATAAATAAATAAATAAAGATATCCCATCTCCTAGAACTGGAAGGGACCTTGAAAGATCATTGAGTCCAGCCCTCTGCCTTCACTAGCAGGACTAAGTACTGATTTTGCCCCAGATCCCTAAGTGGCCCCCTCAAGGATTGAACTCACAACCCTGGGTTTAGCAAGCCAATGCTCAAACCACTGAGCTATCCCTCCCCCCATCATTTTTTGACAAATGATGTCCAAAAAAACTTTATAATGTAGTTATAGTTTTAGTGTAGTTATCAGAAACACACTTACAAAAATGCATGGAATTTGACATGTTCTATTATATTTTTTTTACAAACATCTCTGCGTCGCTTCAGTTGCCCAAAATTGAACAAATATATCCAGACTTACATTCTTAAGATATTTGTTAATAGTATTGCCCACAGCATATCCCATTGCCTCCTTTGTGTACTAAAGGAGAAAAAAACTCCTTATTTCAGTTTTTAATGCTTATGAAAAAGTGTGTTAATAGCCCTAGACAAAGCCATAATGTAGCTATCTGCTTCTTCTTCAACTGATGGAGTAATTGCAGTTTAGGCCTGACCTATAATACTCTTACTTTTCTAGCTGTGGAATCTCCTGAACACAACCCTGCCATAAGTATCAAGTTATGAAGTTAGCAAATATCTTTAAACTGATTGGCAGATTTTAAGGTTAAGTTTTAATAGACAATACAGTATATTTTCAATCAGTTTGCATGTGGAAAAATGGATAAGCTACTACGGTAATAGATTTAGAAAGCTTTATCATAAATGTATTGAACACAGAGGCCTGTAATCTTTTAAATCCCTATAAAATTTACTTATGTAAGTTAGAACTTTCACAGATACAACCAATGAAACTCAGTTATGGAGGGATGCATCTGCCTCTATATTTTAAATGAGAAACCAGCTTCCCATTATGAGCCTCCTTTTTCAGTCCCACAGAAACAAATTATTCCCCCTGAAATTTCACATGCTACATCTAAGGATATTTCCCTGTGAAATTTAAAGGCTGTTATTTGGCAGCTCTTCATTGAGTCCTTTTCAATACTCTGTAATGTGACACCATTTTTCGGCTTAATAGTCATGCTGCATACTTCCTACCAATAACAAATGTCAGTGCTACCAACATTTAAAACCATCCTGTGATACAAAGTACAAGAATAATACTCCTGTACTTTGGTCCTCCACCTTCTTAACAGAAGAAGGTAATAACTATTTGATGCAGTACTCTGTCAACTGCATATGTCCCATTTTAAGAAAAATAGTTAGGATCTCTCCTAAGGTGGTTATTGCAAACAGCGAAGTGACTCTTAAGTAGCACTAG